AATATTATTTATCCGAACCACATCGCTACCAAGAAATAAATGAAGAATGCAATCAAAAACTCAGTCCACTTAATTTTGAAAGAACAGTTGATTATTTAGGTATGGTATTGAACATTTAATTAATGATGTTTGGTAACTAATCAAATCAATGCACATTAGTCGTCCTATATCTGAATAAGTGTATATTACTTGTTCTATCGGGTTCTTTAAGGGAAGAAATGCACAAATACTTCAGAACTCGGCATCACATTACCGACTCCTCAAATCAACAATCATTAGTTCCATTAACGAATACTAACATGCCTGACACCTAGGCCATTATTTAACACAGCCCATCTAAATGTTCCAAAACACCCTCCCCTCAAAAGCTATCTATCCATTTATCTAAGATGAAAACTTATGTACGTATTGCTAACGCGTATAGCTAAAGGCAAAGTGAAGTGGAAGTAGAAAGCTTACAGGCAAATAAGAGATATCCAAGCTACGGAGCTCCTCACACTTGACGGCAATCAAGTCCACCCCTAAATCACCCACACCCAAACACCACTTCAAGCAAATCAATTTCAATTTCCTACACCCAACTGCTACGCACCCAATTCCCATGTCCGTTATCAGCTTACATCTCGCCAACCATAGCTTCTCCAAATTCTTCGCCTGAGCCACTGCATAAGCCGCCGGGTCTTTCAGCTCCGTCGCATTGGACAAGTCTAACTCCACCAAATTCGTGCAATTAGTAGCCAAACTCAACAACCCACTAGCAGAGAAGAACCTGGACCGCGAGAGATCGATCCGTCGTAGCGTAGCTCTGTAAGCGTTGGCTAAGAAGTTGAGGGAACTATCAGATACTCGAGGACAGAGAGAGAGATCAGCATGGGACACAAATGGAAATCGAGTCAAGATCGAAGGAATGAGTTCGGAGCGAAGAGGCCTGATGGTTCGGCGATGTTTGGCCTCGATAGCATAGAAAGATTTGCAAACCAGAGAAAACGACTTTTTGTCCGGTGAATTCGAAGGAAGGTGGTCGAGGATGGTGAAGACGAGCTCCTCCGAGAGAGAATCGAATGGGTTACTGGCCTCAGCGGCTTTGTGCTTTTTCATGACGAAAATAGAAGAAAATATCCCGGAAAACGTCTCGTATGTGGAGAAAAACTACGGAACTTCAGAGAGCAAAGGAGCTCGCGCAAGGACTGCACATGGAGGTGGTGGGGGCGAAATCAAGACGGAATCATACTTCTTGGGAGTAACCGCTAACGGAAGATAATATGCTCCTCTGGTTTCGACAATTAATTCAGAGGTGGGGGGAAGAGGGCGATCCAGGTGGGATTGGAAGGAGTGGGGGGAGGGACATGCGTACGGAGAAGGGAGGGGCAGTTTGGTAATTAGGGAGGGAGGTCAAATTAATGATGGAGCGCAGACAACACATGGGGGAAGGAGTATGTGAGGAAGGACAGATGCAAGTGCGGACAGTACGAATACGGCCGCAGGCCGCTTCACCAAATGCGTCCCTTTTCCCCCCATTGCTTGCTTTTATCATCGTCATTATACCCTTTCTTCTTTGGGAAGGCCATTGCCTCTCTTTTCTCACTTTCATATTACTAATAATAATAATAATAAAATGCGTTTTGATCATTATTCAAAAAATCCCGTGATGGGGAAAAAACAACAAAAACTGGATACAAGGATAAATTTCTGTATTTTTAATCTTTTAGATTATTAAGTTTCTGAAAAAATACAGTAAAAATAAAAGCCTCAGTAAAAAGAGAAATGCCGTACTTATAGATAGAGAGGGAAAAGCACATGGGGTTGGTGACGTGGGTGGTTTTAAGTGGAGATGATGTGGAATACAGTTGTGAGTGGGGCCCTGGTTCACAAGCGCCCTTGGTTTCCTCCCCTTATCCTTATTCTCTTCTTTTTCATTTTCCTTCCAATGCCATGGTGACTTCCTCTTCTTCTCATTTTTTATTTGATTATTTCAGCAACAACTTGGAACTTGTTTGGATTAATATTGATAAAAGTAATTCGTACTATAACTGAATTTTCAAATTAATATTGGAATAAAAGTCAATTTAATATAACACTATTTATGTTTGCATAAACTTCTAATTTAACCAAAAAAAATTATGATATATTAAAAAATTAATTTCAAAATGTTCAAATTTAAGTCAACAATCATAAATCAAAATTATACCAAACATCATTTTTCTTTTCATTCAGCCTGAAGTCAAGGTATTTTTTATGCTCAGAAATCAATTTGGAATGGTTTTAACATCATTCCGAGTTAGCCCTATGTTGTATTGCATTTGACTTCTCTCTACTGTCATGAAACAACATAGTTTAGAAGTTTTGTAATCGTCAAAGATAGTTGCACTCATCAAATTCATGTCTTTTTAAGTAACAAAATTTTTAAATAGGTTTTTCTTTCCACCAAATTTCTTGTGTTTTTATTCTATTATTACCTTATATTTTATTTTTCTTTCAGTCCTTGGAATTAAGAAAGAAACTCCAAACGTGACCTTATTGTTGTGTATGAAATTAATGACGGAGAAGCCTCCCCCGTGAAAGATGAGCTTGGATACCTCGCTCTCAGTGTATCACTAGTTCTATAAAGTCAATGTTCTCTGAGATAATACCTCTAGATGCCTTGTTTAATGGTTGTCCTGATGATTTGATTCTTTGAAAAATTTGAATATTAATAATAAAAGAATAAAGAATCAAGATTTTGTGAGCTGATTTTAGTCAAAAGTTGTCATTTCTACGGCTAATAAGGCAGATCCATTCAAGAAATTTTCGGTGGGATTGGCGAATAAATAAAGTTGTTCATCATATAACTGAAGCTGGACCGGCCCCGGGGGCGACAAAGGAGAAGAACAGTACCTATATATATTTTTTTCTTTCAAAATTTATATTCTAAGTCACACTTGGATTGTGTATATTCCAAATAAATTGCTCAATTAACCCTTATATATTTATGATCAAAGGAAGTGATTAAAAAAAAGAGGAAGAAGAATTTATAGATGACAAATCCACTCACCCATGCCCTTTATTCGCATCATTAAAAACTGATTAGAAAGTGTTTAGACAAAAACTAAATCATAATTTAAAAGTAATTTTACAGTATATCAAATAAATATGTAAAAAAAATTTTATCTTGATTTACATGAAAATACTATTTAAAAATGTTTCTTGATTCAACTAAACACCCCTAAAAGACTCATCAGAGCTAGTTTGAAACTACCTATCAAAATTGTTAATCTAAACGCTATTGCAACCCTGTTTTAATATCATAAAAACAGAAAACGGTGGGTTCATGTTTTCTGAGTTTTAAGAGTAAGTATGCGCTTTTGCTCACTAATTCTAAAAAAACAACAATAAGAGCAGCATTGAATTTTTATTAGTTTATTTTTAATACGTGCAGAATGGCTTTCCTTGGTCAACCCCAACCGAATTCCACTATAAGGCAGGTAATTGTACGAACATCCCCCCCCCCCCCCCAAAAACAACAACACAAAAAAGGTCCAGTACACTTTCATCATTGATGTGGATTTTTCTTTTTTATTAAAATATTTTTTAAGTGGAAATAAACTATTCCATATATCTATTTTATATGTTATAAAATTATTTTTATAACTATAATTTGATTTTCATCTAAATACCCTCTGAAAGTACAAACTTTTTTTTTTTTGAGCAAAAAAGGTACAAACTTTTATAAGTTTCAAACATAATCAAAATTGTGGATTGACCTTCATGTCTGGAATTCCAAGCACCTGAGAGGAAGAAGGAAAAGTAAGTATTCAAGTGGAGGCTGAATGGGTCGGTGCATATTTTTGCAGGAAATTTGAAATCACTTGGGTGAATTACCAAAGTACTTATTTCGTATTATGTAAGGTTAATAATTTGGTTCCTCGTTTACTCTTTTATTTTTTAATATTTAGATGAAATCTAAACAGTACTTTAAAAAAAGTTTTGATGTCATGATCACAATTTCAAAATATTAAACTTAAATTGTACAAATTTATTATAAATGACTCAATGGATCAAGAGTAGAGGTACCGTGAGCAGAAAAATCAGTGTGACGCCATCCCTTCCTCTACTGACTATTTGTTTAATATCACATAACAAGACAACGGAATTCTAAAATAAAACATTGAACAATTTTAAGTGTAGTGGGCTTCGAATATTATATACTCCTCCCGTCCTAAATATAAGACTCTTATACTAGTATAGTGTAAGGGTCTTATATTTAGGATCAGAGGAGTATTTTCTTAGTAATAAAATATCTATGCATTCATGTGAATTAAGGTTTAAATTCTTACTGTATATAAAAAAATGGTTTGAATTTCTATTGACAAAAATATCTATATTTAACGTTCGATAATTCCTCAAACAGAATTACTTCTCATAAAAGATGAAAAATACTTGTTTAGCATGGGCCTAACGGCCCATCTCACCCAATCACACCCCAATTTCATAAATACCATGATGAATTGCAATTGCAATTTCAATTTGTATAATATTACTTTATGGTCCTTATTATGTGTAGTCAATACGACAACAATAAGTCTTACACACTCCGGTCCTATTTATAGGATCTTATTTGTAGACTATAAATTAGGTTTTATAATTAGTATCAGAGGTAGTATTTTATATGTGAAATCACATGACACATTTATACTTTACAAACAATAAATAACCAACAGTCAACTATTTAGTCAGTCGCTAATAGATTCTGTTTTAAGAACTTTCAATCAAATCAACCGCGTTTAAAAGTTTCGGAGATTCAATTTATTGTTGGTTAGTATGAGGCCATGTTTGATCAGACTGAAAGAAAGAATGTTACAATGACGTTCATTCCCTGCGGAAAAAGTACTATTAATGTCACAATGTCCCTTCGATTTTGCACACTCTTTGAAACAAACTAAGTAGGTCCATTGCCAAAAACCAACATGCTCACACTTGTCGGGAAGTGAACAAAATGATGGGAACAAATCAGACAGCTCAGAAACCAACTGCAAAAATTGTGGAAGTACTCTTGTGAAAATCCAGGGAGCCTAGTTTACAAACACGACAGGCTGAAAGGGAGATTTAATTGAGATTAAGACACAGCACTAAAACAAATTACACAGTTTCATCATTTTATGTAGTTTTAGCCTTTGGCACTCTGCATAGAGTTTTACACCGCTGATACAGGATTACAAGGGAGATTTGTACATCCTTTGACATCCAAAGCCCAATGGCTCAATGAGAATTGAAGGCCTCTTTTGATTTGTTCATTGGGTTCTCCGAGTCAGATACATGAATGAATTCTTATGGCACTAATTTAAGATGCACATTTTGATCTGGCTACGTAAGACAGCAAACAATATGAGTTTCAAGATTTCTCTCTTAAGATAAGAAAGGTGCTGAAAAAGCCACAAGAGGTTGTAGATAGCATATAGCTCACTCCTATTTTTAGGCATAAATCGAGATTAATCTGCTCAAGAATCACCCTCCAATTCATCGGAATCAGAATCGCTTGCATTATACCCTGGCAACAATACATCAAAGGAAACATGGTCATTCTGATTTCTGTATTCCTTCAAAAATGACAAAAGAACAATGAAGCTGTCACAAAAAACAGGAAAGGCAGGATTTACCTGGATGCTTGTCACCGACCTTCCAAACTGAAGACCTAGTTCTTGAGGCTTTGGTGAGCCAAATTCTTCCCTTCATTCCCAGCAAACAATTTTAGTCTTCAAAACCAAACGACCACCACCACAAGTACTTCTACATATTCAACCCAATGTTCCTCTAATTCAAATTTGCACAATTGCTTGTTGTACACAACATACAATACCATCGTATGTCCCATCAGAAGCTATGGAGTTCCCACTAGAAGCTACTGAGATGAATTTTCACTAATACTTGAGTAATTAAAAATTACAGTCAATGTAACACCTTAAATAAACAAGTTCGAATATCACAAAACAAATCTGGCATTAGAAACGCAAAAAGCCACTTTCCAGTACATATACGTGCGAGTACTTCAACGTATACATATAGAAATGGGTATTTTTTGGTTTAGAGAAACTAGACATGCATACGTACATGTATCAGGATATAGAAAGCATTAATTATCTTTCTGATCTCTAAAGCACTTTTTAATCACTAAGTTAAAGCACCTTTTTAATCACTCAGTTAATTATCTCTAAAAATTAGCCCTCTAGGAATTCCAATTCCAAGCAGGAACATAATTAGCAGGCTGACTTCTCTTTTCAAGAGGACAATTATGATGTTGAAGTTCAAGTACTGATCATGAATCAATTATAATCCAAACAAAACATCGTAACCAACCTCTCCAAGCACCACAATAACATTACAGATTTACAGTCAACACGCAACTACCCCAATCGATTAAACACAAAGAAGAGCTTAATTAGTAATGATGGGGTTGCGTTGACCTTGTGACCGACACATCTTACTGGTAAATAATTGCAAGAAAATTAAAACGGAATGCCAAGAAAACAACCCACCATTTGAGCATCTCTGGGAACCCCATAGCCACTGCAATACATCTGCGCCAGCAAAACCTGCATGTTGATATCCCCTGCTCTAGCCTCCTTCAATGTTTCCGTAAACCACCGCTTAACACAATCCGCCACCACCTCCGACAGCGGTAGACGACCGGCGCTCTCTTTCTCCGTTCTGCTCTCCATTCTTCAATCGCTTGGAAGACGGTTGTCTATATCGGGGTATGAGACCTGTGAGAAGTGGGCTTACTGGGTCGCACAAGCATCAGATGAATTTTGGTCTTCTATTACGTGTTTCTTTAAGATTAATAACCTCAGATATCGACAGAAGATTTCAGTTTTCAAAGTTCTCACCGTTTTAGATCTTGATTTTATGCTCTCCAGGATTTATTTATTCTTCTGGAGAGAGCCTTCCATTCAGAATCAGCCAATTCGAAGAGTTGCGACTTTGCAGAGGAGAAGGGTTGACTTGCAAGCATGGGGCTGCGAAAGGAACAATAACTTTCAATAAAAGAAAAAGTTTCAAGCCTCTTATTAACGATAATATTGAAAAAATGTTTCATTGACTAAAAAATAGTCAAACGACTAGCACTACCGAACCGAAGAATTAGTCAAACGACTCATAGGAGACCTATAAAAATTTCGAAAGGGATCACTAGAGACAAAAGGTCAACGGAATTACGGTTACCTTCAGACCTATCGATCGTACATTGATTGCTTTGCTTGTGGTCCATCATTATTGATTGCGATGCTTCAATTCTCTTTCACTTACTGGATGGTCACCTTTATGGGGAACTACTAGTTTAGTTTGAAATTCTTGTTAGTCCCTATTTCCATCATGTCTCAACATCTGAATTACCTCGGGTAGGTTGCCTTTATCATTATGTACCTCTCATTGCTGTTTCTGTGTAAATCAAGCAGCACGTCGGAACCTTTCCAGTTATGTAGTGTGTACAACTATTGATAGTGAGAATGGTATTTCCAAGATGCGATTTTTGTCAATTTCATAGTCTCAATAGTTCTTATTTTTGGGGTTGGATTTGAAGAATCTTTCTGCGGTCTCTTTTGGTGGCTGGAAGAAGAAACTTCAAGGGAAAACATGGAGTTGCTATAGTTTATGCAAGTAGTTTGAACCTTCCGTGAAGGGTTTGGCTTTTCTTGATTGATTATGTACAGGCTTTGAACTTGACATGGTTTTTCTCTTGACTTTAAGTTCAGGCTTAAAGGTCAAGAATATCACTTCAATACAATGCAGTTTGATGGGGCCTTCAACACAAGAATGGTGACTGCCATAAACCTAAGTGGCTCTTGCCGACCATTCTCTGTTTTGTCAGTGATGAACTGGAAAGGCTCCTAGGCTACGGTCAATCTGATAGAGTTTGACTTGTGTCTACTTATACATGATCCTTTTAGGAACGCTTCACCAGTAATTCCAGCAGTTGGTCGTCTTGTTCAAAAAATGAATACTTGATCACCGACATTTTTGTCAGTCTTTGCGAAGCTAAGGTATGTTCCAATAAATTTTTTTTTTTTTTTTTGCCGATATGAAATATCATTTTTTAGTAAGATGTTCTGTGGAGGAAGGATCCATTAACTTGACAATGTGACATGACAAGTCTAAAATCTCTTGGACGTTACTGCAAACATTTCATTATATTTGAGGTAAGCATTCCACTGGGATGTGAATTCAAGAGTGACGTGGGATTCAGTGAAGTCTTGCGGCACTATGTTGTCTTACACTACTTCTTTTTTCATACGTCTCCGTAATTTCAGAAAGAAATCTTGACCCATTTGATTAGAGATGTACGAAGTCTTTTCCCCTAAAATAAATTATACTTCATACATTCATAAATTGATGACGAATGGCAAGAAAAGAGAATCAGGTCCCATGCCGGATTCATTCAAATAATGAGTCAAAGAAGAGAATCCATAATGCATAAAAACTTGAGGAGATAGAATGGGACTTGGAGGATGCTATTTGAAATGTTCAGCAAGAAAGCAACCTTGAAGCTCATCTTCGAAACATAAGGTTACTTCAACCTGATGGATTGGGCCATGTGAGCAATATGTGACAAGCCACATCAAAATTCATTTTTGCCAACAGATCCACATCAAAATTCGAAGTAGACTGTGTAGGATATGATATAATTCATTTTCCCCTTCCTCTAAAATTTGAAAAGAATTTACAGTACCTCAACTTCTGGAGAATCTTAAGTTGCTACAGAACCCCTTATCTAGGGGGCCGCAAGCCATCTCCTCCCATGAGTACATACCACATACTACATAACAATAATCATGCAGAAACATGCGGTGAACATTAATTATCAACCATATATATATGGCCAAAATAAGCATATGTGGAACTTCAGAGAACATGGTGTTCCATTCGAAGTCATCAACACAATCGAGAGGAGTTCTGTAGTTACAGCGTGGTAGACAGTGGGTTTAGAATTCAGATCACAGCAAAACTTTACCAATAATCCCCGCATGAACACGATCCATCAACAAAACAATGAAATCTGTTATTATCCCGAATGATTATCTCTCTCCCAGTAATTTTTGAAGTGAGTTTAATGGCCTCATGACAATCGCCACAAATACGGAGATTTTTAACAACTCGAATCACATCTTTGTCATGGGTACTGATTAGAGCAAATGCAATAGCTAACTTCTCACTATGCCAGCCAAGTAGGTGTTCTTTCTCCTCTTCCTCTATGTCAAAGAGAACAAACTCTGTGGTTGGATTATAACCAGCTTCTCTTAGGTCTTTTGATAAACTTTGAAGCTTCTTATATATCTCCTTGGTCAAAGGATGGGATGTGTCCCCTACCAGGAATTCATGGACGACCCCGTTAACTTCAACCCAACTACACCCGCGTACTTTTTGCATCCCTTTCTGATTCATAATTGATCTAATTTTTTCTGCTTCCTCCCAACTGCGATTTGCCGAATATATATTTGATAAGAGAACATAATGCCCTGAATTCCAAGGTTCTAAGTCAATAAGCTGCTTCAGCACATGCTCTGCCAATTGGGTATCCCTATGTAACCTGCATCCCCCCAACAGTGCCCCCCAAACAATAGCGTTAGGCTTCATTGGCATACTATTTATCAATTTGTGAGCTTCATGTAATAAACCAGCCCGGGCTAGAAGATCCACCATGCAGCCATAGTGCTCGATGGATGGAGTTAAAGAATAAACATCGCTCATGCTCTTAAAATACTGACGACCATCTTGGACCAGACCAGCATGAGTACACCCACAAAGTAGGCCTACAAAAGTGTTCTCGTCAGGTTGAATTCTGATTTTTCCCATCTCGCCAAATACTCCAAATGCCGCTTTAACATTTCCATTCATTGCTAATCCTAAAATAACAGCGTTATAGACCACAGAATCTTTTACCTTCATCAGTTTAAAAATATTCCATGCCCGCACCATGCTTCCACATTTTGCATACATATCAATCAAGGCAGTCCCTAAGACAGGATTAGAAAGAAACTCGTTAGCATCTACCAAATCCTTGGCCCAATTTCCATACTCTAGTGCTCCTAATTTCGCACAAGCAGAGAGGACTCCCACCATTGCATAGCAATCAGGTTTCAGATTTTCTCTCTGCATTTGGAAAAACATGTCAAGTGCTTCTTTGGGCAGTCCATTTGAAGCATAACCCTGAATCATAGCACTCCAACAAACGATATCCTTCTCATGAATTCCATCAAATATACGGCGTGCTTTTTCCATGCTTCCACATTTTGCGTACATATCAACCAAAGAGGTGGCAACGAAGACATTCCTATGCATGCCACACTCAGTTATGTATCTATCTATCCACTCGCCGCTATTTAAATCCCCCAGTCGACTGCAAGCATGCAAAACTCGAACAAGAGTAAAACTGTCAGGTCTCAGACCCATCTCCAGCAACCCCCGAAACAAATCAATAGCTTCTTCAAAATGTCCAGACCCTATATACCCACAAATGATGGCGGTCCAAGAAACAACATTTTTATTAGGGATATCATCAAACACCTTTTGGGCATCTACGAGGTGGCCGCATTTCGCATATAAACAAACAAGACTAGTCTTAACAAAAACGTCATCATCAAAACCTGCTTTCACCACAAGGGAATGAAGCTTAACACCCAACTGGAAATTCGAAAGTCTAGCACACGCCTTCAAAACAAAAGGGAAAGTAAAGTAATCAGGCATAATCCCTGATTTCTGCATCGATCCATAGAGCTCAATAGCATCAAGGAAACAATCATTGGAAACCATCCCACGAATCATTGTATTCCACAGATAGATGTTTGGGTGCTTCGTTTGTTCAAAAACAAGTTTGGTATACTCTGTGTTTCTGAAGTCTAAGCAACAGCGTAAGATCATGTTGACAAGGTAATTATCTTCATTTAGGTGAAGGCGGAGAATTTGGGCATGGACATGTTTGAGGTTTTTGAAAGAGTTGAAGCCTTGAAGAAGGCATCTCTTGAGCTCCAATGCCTTAGAAAATGTAGGTGAAGCCGGGTTGCTGATGAAGGACATGGCTTATGTCCTGCCAATTTTCGATCCTGAAGAAAAAAACTCCTCCAATGTCAATTCGCTGAACAAGAATTTGTGGGCTCAGCTGGATGACTTTACTCAGATCCGTTTCCTTGATGCCAACTTCCTCAACTAAATATCTTACTGATGGTTCTAAAGAATTTTCAGCACGAAAAGAAAACAGGGAGGGAGCAGCGACAATGATTTGTCCTACTCTGGAATTTGGCATTCCCAAACCCATAAAAAATGCAACATGAGTTTTTAAATTGTTCTCCATACTCAAGAATTTGTGGCTGTCTCGAAATGATTATTATTACATCTCCATGTTTGACACTAACACTCATTACGTATTCTAACCTTTCCTGTGCAGAACATACATTAATTTGAAGTGAGGACATGTGCCTTTCATATATTTGGATAAAGTGCGACTCCTTCATTCCAGATGTCCTTAAGTAGCCAAAAAGTGGAATCCATTCCTTATCCAAATTTATCTCTTCAGACAATCAAGGATATCTGTTTTCCTTTAAATTTCTACCAACCTGCAATTAAACAAAGAATATGGGGCTCATCAGCTTCAGTTGTACATTAAATGGAATTTTTCACTTACAGCTTATCACATCTCTGTACACCTTTACACAGCCATTTGGTTCAAAGGACCACTTTCTCACTTTTTAACATTTTATGGCTTTCAAATGATCTCATATCCCAACCTTTTTCCTGCTTCCTACATTTTACTGCAAAGAGTCGCATGCAGGATACGCAGCATTTAATTTTCACTTGAAAATAATAATAAAATTCATACAAAGCATACCTTTCATTTTCTGTGAGTTAAATTTCTTGTCATTAAAATCAAAGTCAGCAGGCTCCGCAAGTTCTTCCTGAATACATTCCAAAATGAAAGCACCCGTGGTTACAACAATGCCAAATCTAATGAACTGTTAAAAATAAAGTTACAAGCATACTATTGGTAGACAGAGACAGCATAAGGACCAAGGTCCATAGCTTCACCATAACGAATAAGGAAAAACAAAATATAATGAATAGGCAGGGCAAAAGAACTTGTTCAAATCTTCCTTTAATAATAAGATGGCAAAAGAATTCACATAGTAAGTTCATATACGGTGACTAACTAAATAGAACTGTCCACGGTTTAGAGCAGTGTTGTTACTTGATAAATTTACAAAGAAGAAAACTGAAAGAAGCAGAATCAATTTGGGGCAACAAGTGATTACAGAGTTAAAACCAGTAAGCAACTGAGAAAGAGGAACCTGCTTGCCGACGAGAGACTGACAGAGACAAAGAGACGATGGAGAGATGAGAGACTCAAAGAGTGAGGCGAGCCGCCCAGTCGCTGCCGATGGAGAGATAGACAGACGAAGAGACTGCGGCTGATGGGGCTAAACTTTTTGTTTTTTGGGCTTAAGCTGCTGCCAAGCTAAATGAAGAAAATTTCACAATCTTTTTCTTCTTTTTTATTTTTTTTCCCCAAACATTCATGATTAGAAAGATGTTCTAGTTTTTTTTTTTGGTTAAGGTAAAAATTTATTTCGAAGTTAACACTAGACACGTAAAATTTTTTTTGGATACAAATTAAAATAATAAATTTCTTATTTCTTATCATTAAAAATACTTACGATTAACATTACTATTTTAACCATCAAGCTATAGAAGACAATTTTACTATAATTTTAAACTTTTAAAATAAATTTGTACCCAATAAAAACTTTTAGGTACCTAATACTTTTAAATGAAACAAATTTGCACCTTAACTTTTTCTTTTTTAATACAAGATGTTCTACTTTTGATGCGGAGAAAGACAAGTTTAGTGAGATTTGGGTAAAGTTTCGTGAACTAAAAAATTCATGTTACAAGAGATGTGGTTATATCGCTATTTTAAAATGTTAAAAAAATACTTATTGAATTTTTAAAAGATAAATGGGTTATATTAACTATTGTCATAATGATTTTGACTACTCTTATAATGATTTTAAGAAATCAAAGTCACCTATTTATCATTTTAAAATTGAACATGTATTTTTTTTTTTTATCATTTTCCCCGGTAACATTTACATTTAGATTAATTTATGTTAAAAAATTACACGGTTGTCCCCGAAAAGGATCACATGAAATTAGCTTCAAATAGTAATTAATAAGATCATACATCTACAATGAACAGTTCAACACATTATGAATTGTTATGTACGTGCGTGCGTCAGATCTGACATAGATATATTGACACAATTACATCTCTTAAAAAAATAATATTACATCAATTAAAAATTATATGGGCAAATCGCTACAATAAAAATTAAGGCAGGAACTTTAATGAAACATGGAAGCTAAAACTGTAATCAAACATTTATCTTCTGAGGCCAAGTTTAGTTTACAATTACCTTGCTACGTATACAACAGAATAGTTGCCACCGAGAGTAATCAGGAAGCATACGCACTACTGACAACTGTACATGAACATGATTTTACTATATATATTACGGTACTGAAGAAAGTTACAAATGATTATGAAGTGCAAGATAAATGGGGCAAAAGGCACATTACAGCATTGCAAAATTGGAAATATATGGGACTAAAAAAATTATGCTACCCACGACACAAATATTCACATGCTTACATGAAAAATATATCGAGAGACTGGCGCAGCGCTTGCACGCCGAACCTGACTCTGCACTTTATGGTGAAGTCATTTTCACCCCTGGAAACTGGATCTGGATCAGTCCTAAACCGCAAGCTTGCACTAATGTTCATACATCCTTGTGTCAAGAGGGAGGGGCCGCTTATCACGTATGAACATAGATCAAGATAAAGAATCTCGTATACTCGGGAGGTTTCCTACTTATTACAGGTGAGGATTTGACGTCTGGTGAATCAAGGCAACAATCATGGTGGCAAGACATTCATCAGATGCGAACACCTTCCTTTGTAAGTTCAAGAATCACCCCAACTATCGTCATCATCATCTTCATCATCACTTCCAGCCAAAGCCTATTTTAATCATTAATGTATCAGTAAACTTGAGGAGAACAGAGCCGGCGACAGAAAAAATAAGGAAGAGATACTGATCACAATAAAGCAGAGAGACCTGGCGAATTGCATTTGCTCTCTCCAAAATGGCAGCAACTTTCAAGTTCGTTTTTGGACCTTGAACGTTGGGCCGGGTTGCCACAGCAGGCTTCAAATTGAAAGACTGAGGGAACCAAAAAAGTTATTTAAGTATCATACTGCTCCGAATACAGGGTCAGAAACAAAATCCCAGAAAGGAGAAAAAAGTAGCCAGCTATAACCTTTGTCCTTATCTGTTCTAACAGTGAATCTCTTTCATCTATCTTGGATGCTGTCTCAGGACTAGACCGTTGAGTAACCTTCCTCAGCTGCAGTGGCTCAAAGAAAACGTGTTATGCTAGAATTAAGACCTTTGTAAATATATATTCTGAAAAACCAGGTCATTACCTTGCTCTTGTCATGAGCAGCAACAGCATCAATTAGAGGATTCCGTGGACGGGGAAGCTTATTTTTTGATATTCCATTCGGCTTTTCACCCTCAGTCTCTATTGATGTTGTAGCAGGTATATCCAATGATGATGCCATCTCGCCCTCTAAAGGAGGCAGACTGTGATTGTGTTGCACAACTTCCACGCTTGGCAGCATGGGTGTAACAGAAGGATCTTCTTGTTCCCCTTCCAGATTGCTCACAGAATGCGTAGGTTCTTTAGCTTCTGAAGTAGTCTCTTCTATTAGCTGACTTGGGGGTTGGGCCAGCTTTTCCTGAGAAGAAACAGGATCGTGTCCCAATGATGATGCCATCTCGCCCTCTGAAGGAGGCAGACTATGATTGTGTTGCACCATTTCCATGCTTGGTGGTGGCATGGGTGTAACAGAAGGATCTTCGTGTTGCCCTTCCAGGTTGCTGACAGAATGCGTAGGTTCTTTAGCTTCCGAAGTAGTCTCTTCTATCAGCTGACTTGGTGGTTGGGCCAGTTTCTCCCAAGAAGAGGCAGGATTGTGTCCAGAAAAGGCACATTCAACAGGTGGTATCGGTGGGTGCAGGTTTGAATATTGTACCATTTCTCTCTCTGATGCAAGAACAAAACCATGTGAAGGCTTGACAGTAGAAACCATGGGAAGTGTTAAGAATGGGTTCTGCATTTGGCTTCTCTCAAGAACTAGGTAATTATATTGACCATTTGCTTCATTAACCATAAAAGGAAATTGCAATGGAACAGCAACAGGATGCCCTGAAACACCCACTGAAAATCCAGAAGGATATGGGATCTTATCACCTTCCACAGCAATGACTGGTAAAGATGTATCCTGATACTGTAAGGTCTCTCTCTCTGAAGATATCAAACCAAATTGACCTTTGTCATCAGTTTTAATTGCCTGGATTGGTTGGAACGAGGCCTGACTAACTTCTGCAACTTCTTCCTTCGAAGCATGTTGAACCTTGCCCCTTCTCCATTGCATAGGTGGTAGAGGGGGCATAGGTGGCATCTCCCCGAGATTGATGTCAGATCCTGGTAGAATGGGATCCGGAAGAGGTTTCAATGAATCCATAACATGTTTTGCAACATTTAACCCCGGGCCATCTGGCTGTGATAAGGAATTGGACAGTGATGGTTGATCTCGATGAATTTCATCAGCAGATTCAGCAGCAAGAGATTTCCTTTCTTGCCCCAGTTGACAAGATACATGCATACCCTCAGATTGAAATTTCTCTGAGCCAGAATTTTCAACTCTGAGAGGAGAATCTGCTCCTTGTTGACCAGCTCCCGATTGTAAGAACTGCGCTGGAGTTTCCATTACCAGCTGGTCTTTGGATGACAATGGCAAAGCACTATTCTGGCAAGATGAAGATTCCAATTCTTGAGTGGCTGGCTCTGAAAACTCTGGCACCATCGATAAATCATTGGCAGAAGAAATATGATGGTGTTTTACATGAAGAGGTGCATCTTGAACACTATTAGATGTTTCTGAATCAGAAAGATCATGAGATTCTGCTCTGTTCAGATTTAAACCAATGTCAGCTGAAGCAACTTCTGTTTGACTCACAACCTTCTCCACCTCCAATTCCGTCAAAGATTCTCTAGCAACTTCCTCGTTAGATATTTCATTTACAAGTGGACCACTAAAACTTGAAGGAGATTCTTCCAAATTTGTAGGATCTCTCAATGAAGAAGATATAATATCAGAAGAAATTATATATGAAGACGATTCCAGCTGATTTTTCGTACTCTCTGCATTCATGTCTCTGAAAATTTCACTTGATTCAGCTTCATTGGATTCCATTTTTAACTGACAAGAATCTGAAGAAACTGGGAAAGTTTCCAGTAAATTGTCAGCTTGATCTTCTGATTGAACTTTCTCAGTGTAAACATTATACGCATCACCATTCCCCTTCCCTCCAAAACCAGGAGAAGATGGTTGTTTAAGATGGCCATCATCTTCAACTGCATCCACACTGCAGGTGGATTCACTTTTATCATTGTCATTATCCATCCTCGATGTCTCTTCAGAATTTGATAGCCGATCAGAGTACAAAACTTCTACTCCTGCTGAATCTGGTTCATCTATAGGATGTTCATGAGTAAAATAGGAGAACTGCTCCCTTGCCAAGCTACTTGACGGTGGAGTCTCCACTGCAGGGGATGAATCTTGACAGTCAAGTTTGCTAGCTATAATACAACTCTCATCTTTTGAATCTAAGACCTCGGCACCATCAACTGGTAATGCAGCACCTGAATACAGGTCTACTTCCATAGATGGAGAATGCCCCTGAGGTGAATTGACCCCTTCACCAGCCAAACTTTCATCATAGTTTTCCTTTGAAAGTCCATCCTGCAAGATTTCGATCTTAGAATGATTGCTGCATTCATCTGCAGGAGCCAAATTTAGGTCATTAGAAGTGTGTTGTGAAGCATCAGAATGGACATACAGTTCACCATTGTCCAAGTTCAAAGAATATTCTTTGAAAGAATCCCCAGGGCAAGTGTCATTCTTGGTTATAGAAAAAGCATTAGATGTTGCTGAAATAGATTCAACTTGACACTTACTTTGTTCATCATCTTCAAGTTCAACAGGCTCAGATGGTGTTTCAACTAACTGCGTCTCTGTAGGCATGACTGGTGTTAGTTCCAAGTCGTTTGAAATCGGCAATGAAGCATCACAAGGGGCATAAGGATCACTTTCATCCAAATTGTTCAAAGGACATTCTTCAGAAGAAGACACAGGGCCAGCACCATTCTTTGTTGTGGAGAGAGCATCAGGTACAGCAGCTATACACTCAACATGACACTTCCTTTCCTCATCATCTGCTAAACTTGAATGAATTTCAACAAGGTCAGATGGTCTTTCAACTGATTGTGCTTCAG